TTGTGCTAACAGAGCACCCTCCTCCATACACTCCAATGTGCACTAACCAGATGCACTTAGACTCTGTAATGTACATAAAGCAGTTCTGTATGTGCCTTGCTCTCCATCTTCTCTAGTTTTTGAAAATCCCCAACAGAAAGAACTGATGGTGTAAAATACATTTATTAAAACTATTTCAAATCCCATGAAATATTGCACCCACAATTTGGCTGTATGCCCACTCCACCACCTGAATGTAATATGCACAATGTATTAATGAGGAAGTCGTCATCTGCAGCTCTTCACCGTTATCAGCATGTGTTTCAGTGACAGAATTTACACAGTAGCCAGAGGCCCCGACCAACCTGTTTTGACATCCAAGGTATGTTTGTCAGTAGCAGTAGTGTGGTTGAAAATCCTCCACATATCTCAGAATACCATTATACTAATATAAATAATTATCCCGCAAACATTACAACTAGAGATGAGCGAAGTATATCAAAAATTCGATTCTACTGATCGCAGAACACTGTACCTTTAATTTAAATGCCCTTGGAGTCTGCTGGGGAAGAGAAATAATACTGTCAGTCAGTATGACATGCAGATGAGTGCCGTCGATCTTAGAATCACCGCACACTTCACTCATTTGGCCAGTCACGGGGCCAAAACCAGTGTTTGGAGCCACAGTGTGGCTGTGGAGGCAGCAGCAATGGGAGGCCATACAGCAACCTATGACAAAATGGAAACCAGCAGGAGTGTGAGGAGACCTGAAAAGTGGCACATGGCAGAGTGGGATAGCAATGGGAGGCGTACAGGGACCCAGTCACACTGTGGACCCAGCAGCAGCGTGACCAGGCGGTACGGGGGCCCATGGCAGATTTGGGGCCTGGCGGCACCTATGGGAGGCCTTTAATCTGCCACAACCTATGACAAAATGGAAAAACCGCAGGAGTGTGAGGAGACCTCAAAGTGGCACATGGCAGAGTGGGAGCAATGGGAGGCGGTACAGGGACCCAGGTCACACTGTGGGTCCTCAGCAGCAGCGTGACCAGGCGGTACGGGGGCCCATGGCCGATTTGGGGCCTGGCGGCACCTATGGGAGGCCTTTAATCTGCCAGCAACCTATGACAAAATGGAAAAACCGCAGGAGTGTGAGGAGACCTCAAAGTGGCACATGGCAGAGTGGGAGCAATGGGAGGCCGTACAGGGACCCAGGTCACACTGTGGCCCCAGCAGCAGCGTGACCAGGCGGTACGGGGGCCCATGGCCGATTTGGGGCCTGGCGGCACCTATGGGAGGCCTTAATCTGCCAGCAACCTATGACAAAATGGAAAACCGCAGGAGTGTGAGGAGACCTCAAAGTGGCACATGGTAGAGTGGGAGCAATGGGAGGCGGTACAGGGACCCAGGTCACACTGTGGGCCAGCAGCAGCAGCGTGACCAGGCGGTACGGGGGCCCATGGCCGATTTGGGGCCTGGCAGCACCTATGGAGGCCTTTAATCTGCCAGCAACCTATGACAAAATGGAAAACCGCAGGAGTGTGAGGAGACCTCAAAGTGGCACATGGTAGAGTGGGAGCAATGGGAGGCGGTACAGGGACCCAGGTCACACTGTGGACCAGCAGCAGCGTGACCAGGCGGTACGGGGGCCCATGGCCGATTTGGGGCCTGGCGGCACCTATGGGAGGCCTTTAATCTGCCAGCAACCTATGACAAAATGGAAAAACCGCAGGAGTGTGAGGAGACCTCAAAGTGGCACATGGTAGAGTGGGAGCAATGGGAGGCGGTACAGGGACCCAGGTCACACTGTGGGCCCCAGCAGCAGCGTGACCAGGCGGTACGGGGGCCCATGGCCGATTTGGGGCCTGGCGGCACCTATGGGAGGCCTTTAATCTGCCAGCAACCTATGACAAAATGGAAAACCGCAGGAGTGTGAGGAGACCTCAAAGTGGCACATGGTAGAGTGGGAGCAATGGGAGGCGGTACAGGGACCCAGGTCACACTGTGGGACCAGCAGCAGCCGTGACCAGGCGGTACGGGGGCCCATGGCCGATTTGGGGGCCTGGCGGCACCTATGGGAGGCCTTTAATCTGCCAGCAACCTATGACAAAATGGAAAACGCAGCAGGAGTGTGAGGAGACCTCAAAGTGGCACATGGTAGAGTGGGAGCAATGGGAGGCGTACAGGGACCCAGGTCACACTGTGGGCCCAGCAGCAGCGTGACCAGGCGGTACGGGGGCCCATGGCCGATTTGGGGCCTGGCGGCACCTATGGGAGGCCTTTAATCTGCCAGCAACCTATGACAAAATGGAAAACCGCAGGAGTGTGAGGAGACCTCAAAGTGGCACATGGTAGAGTGGGAGCAATGGGAGGCGGTACAGGGACCCAGGTCACACTGTGGGCCCAGCAGCAGCGTGACCAGGCGGTACGGGGGGGGCCCATGGCCGATTTGGGGCCTGGCGGCACCAGCTATGGGAGGCCTTTAATCTGCCAGCAACCTATGACAAAATGGAAAACCGCAAGAGTGTGAGGCCACCATTTCAAAGTGGCACATGGTCCAAGAGTGGACAGCAATGGGATCCCTACAGGGACCCATGGTCACACTGTCGGGACCCAGCAAGCGAGCGAGCAGGCTATGGGGGTGCCAAGGAATGCGGGGCCTGGGGACCTATGGGAGGCCTCCTCCTGCCAGCACCCAGCATACTGCCACGGTGCGTCTGGGTCCTCTGTCTCCTCCTCCTCCTCCTCTACCAGATGCTCCTGCTCCTCCACTCCTGTCCGCTGAGTGGAAAAACCACCCATTTCACTCAATAATTCCTGAGCACACCAATGTCCTCCTCTACCTCCTCCTCTTCTTCCTGTCCTGCCCCCCACAGGGTCATGTGGCGTTGAGATCTGTGCGCCACGTGTCTACCGCACTTAAACCCCTGACCAGCCATTGTTAACAGCATTTGTTCCAGGACGTGCAACAGAGGAATGACGTCGTTCATATCCCATAGTCCTGCCGACTCACGAATAGCGTGGCCTCCTCAAAGGGCCTGAGCAAGCGCAGGTGTCACGCATGAGCTGCCAATGGCTGACACCTAAGTTACACAGGGAGTACCTTTATCCGCTTTTAACATCAGGAAATCTGTGATGGCCTTTCGCTGTTCGTAAAGGCGGTCTAACATATGTAGGGTTGAATTCCACCTTGTTGCAACGTCACAGCATGAGGAGTCGGTACGGGGGCCCATGGCAGATTACGTGCCTGGCAGCAGCAATGGGAGGCCCGTAATCTGCCAGCACCCTATGTCAAAAAATTGAACACACCAGCAGTGTGCACCTGAAAGTGATGGCAGACCTGGAACAGTGGCACATGCCGTACAGGTGACCCATGAGAGACTCTGGACCTGGCAGCAGCATGAGGAGGCGGTATAGGGGCCCATGGCAGACTTGGCAGCAGCATGAGGAGCGCGTTAGGGGCCTGGCAGAGCAGGGCCTGGGAGGCCCGTAATCTGCCAGCACCCTATGACAAAAAATTAAACACACCAGCAGTGTGAGGAGACCTGAAAGTGGCACATGGCAGAGTGTGGCGATGGAGACAGCAGCAATGGGAGGCCGTACAGGGACCCATGAGAGACTCTGGACCTGGCAGCAGCATGAGGAGGCGGTATATAGGGGCCCATGGCAGATTAGGGGCCTGGCAGCAGCTATGGGAGGCCCGTAATCTGCCAGCACCCTATGTCAAAAAATTGAACACACCAGCAGTGTGTGAGGAGACCTGAAAGTGGCACATGGCAGAGTGTGGCGATGGAGACAGCAGCAATGGGAGGCCGTACAGGGACCCATGAGAGACTCTGGACCTGGCAGCAGCATGAGGAGGCGGTATAGGGGCCCATGGCAGATTAGGGGCCTGGCAGCAGCTATGGGAGGCCCGTAATCTGCCAGCACCCTATGACAAAAAATTGAACACACCAGCAGTGTGAGGAGACCTGAAAGTGGCACAGTGGCATGAGAGCAGCAATGGACCGTACAGGGACCCATGCAGACTGAGGACTGGCAGCAGCATGAGGAGGCGCGGTATAGGGCCCATGGCAGATTAGGGGCCTGGCAGCAGCTATGGGAGGCCCGTAATCTGCCAGCACCCTATGACAAAAAATGAACACACCAGCAGTGTGAGGAGACCTGAAAGTGGCACATGGCAGAGTGTGGCGATGAGACAGCAGCAATGGGAGGCCGTACAGGGACCCATGAGAGACTGTGGACCTGGCAGCAGCATGAGGAGGCGGTAATAGGGGCCCATGGCAGATTAGGGGCCTGGCAGCAGCTATGGGAGGCCCGTAATCTGCCAGCACCCTATGTCAAAAAATTGAACACACCAGCAGTGTGAGGAGACCTGAAAGTGGCACATGGCATGGCAGAGTGTGGCGATGGAGACAGCAGCAATGGGAGGCCGAGTACAGACTCTGACCTGGACCTGCATGCAGCAGGAGGAGGGCGGTAAGGGGCCCATGGCAGATTAGGGGCCTGGCAGCAGCTATGGGAGGCCCGTAATCTGCCCAGCACCCTATGACAAAAAATGGAACACACCAGCAGTGTGTGAGGAGACCTGAAAGTGGCACATGTTTGGGGCATGATTCATGGCGGATTTAGTCAGTTGTGTCAGGAACTGGTGGTTTGAAATCCAGACTAATCCACGCCTGATTCATTTTCACAAACGTGAGTCTCTCCACACTTTGGGTGGACAGTCGTGTCCTCCGCGGAGTTACAATACCTCCTGCCGCACTAAACACGCGCTCCGATGCCACGCTACTGGCCGGGCATGACAGCCTTTCAAGGGCAAATTCAGCTAGTTGGGGCCAAAGGTCAAGTTTCGTTGCCCAGTAGTCAAGGGGATTGTCTACCTCGGTTGGCAGGGTGCTGTCCAAGTAGGCCCAAGCCTGTTGTTTGAGCTCCTGCTCCAGGTCCACCTGATGCTGCTGCTGCTGCTGCGGCTGGTTAGTAGTTTCCTCACTGCGCTGGTGAAGAAAGCTACTCATCATCGACTGCAGACTGAGGCAGCCGCTGCTGGTGGAGCTGCCACTGCTCCTACCACCCCACCCCTCCCCTGCTGCCATGGCAGCGGAACGCGAGCGCACAGGGCCCACAGTGTCTGAGGATGGACGTTGGCGCAGAAAGGCAGAGACCAACTGACTACATAGGTGGTTTTTATAGTACGTAATATTTTGGCCTCCCTCTCAGCAGGTGTGAAAAAGGCCACCATTTTTGGAACGGTAGCGAGGGTCCAACAAGGTGGACAGCCAAAAGTCATCCCTCTGTCTGATGGTTATTATTCGGCTGTCGCTACGCAAGCAACCGAGCATGCTATGGGCCATTTGTGCCAAGGAATGCGAGGGACTCCCTGCCTCCATCTCCAACAGCATACTGCCACGGTGCGTCTGGGTCCTCTGTCTCCTCCTCCTCCTCCTCTACCAGATGCTCCTGCTCCTCCACTCCTGTCCGCTGAGTGGAAAAACCACCCATTTCACTCAATAATTCCTGAGCACAAATGTCCTCCTCTACCTCCTCCTCTTCTTCCTGTCCTGCCCCCACAGGGGTCATGTGGCGTTGAGATCTGTGCGCCACGTCTACCGCACCCTGACCAGCCATTGTTAACAGCATTTGTTCCAGGACGTGCAACAGAGGAATGACGTCGTTCATCCCATAGTCCTGCCGACTCACGAATAGCGTGGCCTCCTCAAAGGGCCTGAGCAAGCGGCAGGTGTCACGCATGAGCTGCCAATGGCTGACATCGAAGTTACACAGGGGAGTACCTTTATCCGCTTGTAACATCAGGAAATCGGTGATGGCCTTTCGCTGCTCGTAAAGGCGGTCTAACATGTGTAGGGTTTGAATTCCACCTTGTTGCAACGTCGCAGATCAGGCGATGCTGTGGAATTCCGTTCTGCCGCTGCAGCTCAAGGAGGGTGTGCTTTGCGGTGTAGGAATGGCTGAAATGCATGCAAAGTTTACGTGACATTTTAAGGATGTCTTGCAGTGGGATGGTGGATTTTAGGAACCGCTTGACAACCAGATTGAACACGTGAGCCATGCATGGCGCATGGCACAACCTTCCTTGACGCAGAGCAGACACCATGTTCTTTCCGTTGTCGGTCAACATGGTTCCGATTTTCAGTTTGCGCGGAGACAGCCATCTGTCGATTTCTCTGTTCATTACACTCAGAAGTTCCTCCCCTGTGTGACTACGTTCGCCAAGGCATACCAGGTGCAGCACAGCGTGACACCGTTGCGCCCTGCACATGTGATATGCCGGTCGGTAATGGGACTTGGCACGGGGGTGGCGGCTGAGGACACGGCGGAAGAAGAGGTGGTAGAGGCGGACATCTTTGCTGGACCAAGGACGTGCAAACGTGGAGGCAAAAGCGGCGTGACCTGTCCAAGTTGCTGGTGCGGCTGTGCCGGCACCACGTTCACCCAGTGGGCCGTAAATGACATGTACTGTCCCTGACCGTAGTTACAGCTCCACACGTCGGCGCTGCCGTGCACTTTGGCAGAGACCGACATGCTCAAAGACTGGCCCACCATCTCTTCTACATGTGAATGCAGGGCTGGCACTGCCTTTTTGGCGAAGAAATGCCGGCTTGGCACTCTCCACCGCGGCGGCACAAGCCATCATTTCTCGGAAAGGTGCTGAGTCCACCACTTGGAAAGGGAGGGACTGCAGCACCAGCAACTTGGACAGGAGGACGTTCAGCTTTTGCACCGTCGGGTGCGTGCTCGCAAACTGTTGTCTCTTGGAAACGGATTCCAAGAAAGACTGCTGACAGAATCCGTGAAGAGTAGCAGGAGAAGGAGCATCTGAACGAGCGGAAGATGCCAACGAGCGACAACTCCCCCCTCAGCAGAGGTGTTGGAGCCTTGACTGGCTGATAGAGGGCGATTGACGTCGGGTGACGGAGCAAGTAACGGAGCGGGTGATGGAGCGGGGGCTGGGGCAGGCAGAACCGCCGTATCTTTATCACGGTTTTCCCAGGCCACCGAATGGCGACGCTGCATATGCTGACGCAACGCTGTAGTCCCAACAACATGGGCCCCCTGGCCACGCTTGACTTTCTGGCCACATAGTCGACATACGGCTACGTTTACTTCCTCGGGCGGCTTGACGAAAAATTGCCACACCGCCGAGTAGGAAACTTTTCCTCCCCCGCTACTCCTCACTGGCTGACTGCTACTTCCTCCGTGCACACCGGCACCACTACTGGCCGTGGTGGTAGGCTGCAGTGGAGCTGGTGCTCTACTCCGTGGCCGTTTTGGCTCCACTGACACTGCTGCGACCCTGCTGCCTCCTGGGCAACCCACCGACTGTTTTGCTCGCTGCCAAGCTGCCACCCTCTTCTCCTGATGATGCGGAAGCAATAGCCTGATACGACGAGGCTGCCAAGTGCGATCAGCCTCATCATCATAAATTAGGGTCTCCGCCTCACTACTAGCCCCCTCGGCTGCGTGTGGGTCAGGAGACAGACCTGTCTCTAGACCGGCTACCGAGCCACTCTCCTCGCCAGTACTTCTTCGCCTGGCTGCTGAAGAGGCGATGTCTCCCCCCGTTCCTGACCGCCCTCTGTTAGCTCTTCCTCACTGTACAGTGGGGCTGAGCCCACAGTAATGCGATACTTCGCTTGGTGAGGGAACACCAAAGGACAGGGGCAGGTAGAGGACATGTGATTTCAGTGGGCTTGCTCTCAGGCCATGCCAACTAACGGTTGTGACTGACGTACCCACCGACCGTTGGCTGTAGGTGTCAGAGGTGACCTGGGAAGAGGAAGACGACCGAGCCAACCAATCGATGACGGCAGGGTTGTCGGTGGAGACACGACCGCTGGATGACACCGGGAGCACTGGTCACCTGGCTGCGACTAGTGCTGCCTCGACCCCTTCCTCTGCTGCCACGTCTGCTCGCCTGAAACATTGCCTCCTCTTCCACTCCTCTGCGTGTTGTCTGACATACTCTTTAATTCAACGATTCTGTGTCCCTGAGTAACAATTCTGTGTCCCCTGAGTAACAATTCTGTGTCCCTCAGTAACGATTCTGTGTCCCTCAGTAACAATTCTGTGTCCCTGAGTAACAATTCTGTGTCCCTGAGTAACAATTCTGTGTCCCTCAGTAACGATTCTGTGTCCCTGAGTAACAATTCTGTGTCCCTGAGTAACAATTCTGTATCCCTGAGTAACAATTCTGTGTCCCTCAGTAACAATTCTGTGTCCCTCAGTAAAAATTCTGTGTCCCTCAGTAACAATTCTGTGTCAGTCCCTGAGTAACAATTCTGTGTCCCTGAGTAACAATTCTGTGTCCCTCTGTAACAATTCTGTGTCCCTCAGTAACAATTCTGTGTCCCTCAGTAACAATTCTGTGTCTGTCCCTGAGTAACAATTCTGTGTCCCTCAGTAACAATTCTGTGTCCCTCAGTAACAATTCTGTGTCCCTCAGTAACAATTCTGTGTCTTTCCCTGAGTAACAATTCTGTGTCCCTGAGTAACAATTCTGTGTCCCTGAGTAACAATTCTGTGTCCCTCAGTAACGATTCTGTGTCCCTCAGTAACAATTCTGTGTCCCTGAGTAACAATTCTGTGTCCCTGAGTAACAATTCTGTGTCTCTGAGTAACAATTCTGTATCCCTGAGTAACAATTCTGTGTCCCTCTGTAACAATTTTGTGTCCCTCAGTAACAATTCTGTGTCCCTCAGTAACAATTCTGTGTCCCTCAGTAACAATTCTGTGTCTGTCCCTGAGTAACAATTCTGTGTCCCTGAGTAACAATTCTGTGTCCCTCCTCAGTAACAATTCTGTGTCCCTCAGTAACAATTCTGTGTCCCTGAGTAACAATTCTGTGTCCCTCAGTAACAATTCTGTGTCCCTGAGTAACAATTCTGTGTCCCTGAGTAACAATTCTGTGTCCCTCAGTAACAATTCTGTGTCCCTCAGTAACAATTCTGTGTCTGTCCCTGAGTAACAATTCTGTGTCCCTGAGTAACAATTCTGTGTCCCTGAGTAACAATTCTGTGTCCCTCAGTAATTCTGTGTCCCTCAGTAACAATTCTGTGTCTGTCCCTGAGTAACAATTCTGTGTCCCTGAGTAACAATTCTGTGTCCCTCAGTAACAATTCTGTGTCTGTCCCTGAGTAACAATTCTGTGTCCCTGAGTAACAATTCTGTGTCCCTCAGTAACAATTCTGTGTCCCTCAGTAACAATTCTGTGTCTGTCCCTGAGTAACAATTCTGTGTCCCTGAGTAACAATTCTGTGTCCCTGAGTAACAATTCTGTGTCCCTCAGTAACAATTCTGTGTCTGTTCCTGAGTAACAATTCTGTGTCCCTGAGTAACAATTCTGTGTCCCTCAGTAACAATTCTGTGTCCCTC